ACTTCCTAAGGTCAACTACTGTGACCCTACCATAAGCCTATTATGTACTTAAGACCATGTTAGACCTTGAAATATGCCACTGATAAAGGTAGACAAGACCCGGCCCAGAGTGACCCCTTTTGTCAACTATTTGGGATATTTCCAGACCATAGGGATGAGAAAATATAAATAACACCTAACACTTACGAAATGCTTGCTATGGGCCAAACATTGTTCTAACAGCTTAATATATATTACGTCATTTCGTTTTGGTCCTCACACACATTCGTTGTGATAGATACAATTATCAGCCCCATTTACTCGTGAGAAAAAATGAGTCAGAGTGATTAAGTAACTTTGTCCAAGGTCACATAACTGTTAAATGGTGGAGGTGTAATTTGAACCCTGCCAGTGGTAAATCCTAACTTCTCTCGACACTCCGTGTGTTCTGAACTTACTACAGTGACCGCAGCAGTTGGTCATAGCAACCTGGCCATGTTCGCTGTCTCACCTACTTAGACTGCCTCTGGGACCACGGAGTAAATGGGTCTTTTCACTTCCTGGAGTCGTGGATGCCCAGGATGCTCTATAAACGTGTGTTGGTTGATTCTATTTAGAGAGGTTTCAGGAATATGTATAAATCCCCAAATGGGTTTTCCAATCGAGGTGCAGATGAAAGAGAAAAGAGGTCCTTAGGCATAATTTTGTTAATTTACAATATTAAAAAGCTTGATCATTTCAAAATGAACCACGTCATGTAAATCAGATCTTACTAATGCTGTATCTTACCAAAAAAGAAAAGTGCTCTAACAGACAATATTTCTTGCAGCAGACATGTCACTTTATCTGCAACAACAAACCACACACGACTGAGGAAACAGTCCAATCTGGAAAACGCCATTCCCTCCTCCAACAAGCAGATAGATTATACATGACTGATACATACATACGTAACTCATAAATGGTAAGAGAGAAATCACAAAAACAGATAAATTACAACAATAGGTAAATAGGAGAGAAAGAAAGAAAGAAGGAAGGGAGGGAAAAAGTCTTATTATACAGACTAACTAACATATGGAGTTTGCCTTGGCCACACGAATGAATGGTGCTTAGGCTGACATAATTTTGAAAATGGTGATTTAGGGAATACTGATCTGGTGCATGTTCTATTTGTCCAATTTATCTTGAAATCTTTCACTTACCAGCTGCACGATCTTGGGCAAGTTACTTCTTTGGGCCCTTTTCAGTTATCTGACCCAATAAGTATGCAGTTGGCACATTTGTATAATGCACTTAATACAAGCCCCACTGTTTTATAGGATAAAGCAGGAGACATTAAAAGCATGGGCTCTGATTGCATGGCTTCTCTGTTTATTATTAGAAGTACAACACTGAGTGAGTTACTCATCTATCCTGTATCTCAGTTTCTTCATATATAAAATATGGATTATAGTAGTTCTAAAACATAAAGTTGTTGTAAAGATTAAATAAGCTCATACATGTAAAGCATTCACAGTAGCTATTATAACATTATACAAATTACAAAAACAGTGAGAAAATTTCAAGTGCTCCATAAATATAAGGGATCACAGTGGCCTGAAGATGAAGGAAATCTACCAACTAATCTATGTGCCTGTAAGGAGAAAAACACCATCTTTTCTGGTCGACATTAGGCACATGCTCCTCTAGCCCAAGGCTAAGTTTGTTGTCTGCACCTGGAGATGGCAATGCTTCCCATTCGGTGCGTTCAAATGACCGAACAGTCACATGAGATACCAGCACTGTGCGAAGGAGAGTCCAAGAGGTTAAATGACTTCTTAAGAAAGAGAAGGTGACAGAACTAAGAAGTTTGAAACTCAGGCTGTGTTTCTGAGTCCAAATTAGTTTTTTTCTTTTTTTTTAATGTCGGGATATAAGTACTTAGCTGATTCTTAAGAGACACATGTCGTTCTGTTTTGGAGACAATGCTTTCTTAGGTCCCTTAGAAAATTATATTCTAATTTGCTAGGTATAAAGAAACAAGGATTATTCTATCACCTCTGGGGGCTTGCCCCCCGCTGAAAGACTAAAGTCCACAGCTAGCTGGGATTTCAGGAGGGGACATTTCTCCAAAGCTCTTCCATGTGTTTCCTCCAAGATGACTGTGTAGACAACTCAAAAGTGGAGGCTGGCCTACTCGGGGCTCCAGCCTCTCTGGGCTCCTGTCTCCCTGACCCTCTATCAGTGGTGGAGGTCTGTGCATTGATTTGCCTATCCATCATCTATTCCTCTTTCTGAAAGTAACGCTAAGCTTTTTCTTGAAGAATGATTCCCCTACCTCCCCTTTTGCTCCCAGACCTTGTGGTTTGGGTAGAACTAACCATCGCCCCAGTTCTAAAGGTAGGTCATGTGATAGCATATTTCATTCTCCCGGCCACAGAGGTTTATGACAGGCATGTAGCCCAAGGCAGCCCTTTGAAGATTAACCTGGGGCTTTTGCTGCACCTATTAAAGAAGAGGCTTTTTCTTTCTATTGCGGTCGCAAATCCAACAAGATGTGTACCTGGAACTTCTAGATCCCACTTCCCCCACCACAAAGAGAGCATGTGCCTGAGAATGAAGCTGACAGAGAAGGGAGCAGAGGTAGAGACCCAGATTTCCTACAGCGCCGTTTCAGCATGTAGATATACCCACGCCTGAAGCCATAACTCTGGCATCTTTCAGTTGTCTGAGCCAATAAATTCTCCTTTTGCTTAGGCAAATTTGAATTGAATTTCTTTAAAAATCCTAATCAATAAGTACCCACTGGATACATGGACTCATTATACATATTTATGAATGTCAGGCTCTGTGCTAAGAGCTGGAAACACAGAGACAAATTGGACAGAGTGCTTGCCCTCAAGAAGCCCAGTCTCTAGAGGTAGAAGCAGTCGCATAGAGAAGTAATTATGATACAGTGGAGTAAGCGCCATGATGTATCATGTATGGAAACACGGAGGGAATACATTCTCCCACCACGTGTTCCTAGAAGGATCTACAGAGGAGAAATTACACAGTCAAGAATTTCAATGATGCTTTCCTGTGGAGTTTGGTCTAAAAGGGAGGAGAGTCATAGCTTATGCAAAGTCATAGATGTATGTAATCGTAGATCACAGTGGATGGTTGGAAGTATTTAAAGTATAGGGCAAGTCATGTAATTTGGCAGAACCCCAAGTCATTACTGACCAGCTGGCAGACAGCGAAAGGATTCACATGCAGTTTAGAAGCTGGCTACTACCATATCATAAGGTGACTGAGCACTGACATAAGCAATGAGCAGCTACGTACTTTGCTGAGCTCAGTGCATCATGAAAATGCGAGTCCCCTTGCTGAAACATTGTTAAGAATTTCTAGATGGCGACAGCTGGGCATTAAACCAAGCATAGGGCCCTTTAGCATGCAGAGCCCTAAGCAACTATTTAGCCTACATGCCCAGGAAGCTGGCCCTGACATGAAGGCTAGAGAGGGACCTGCCTCTGGTCCATGACATGGTCTGGGCCTAATTCCCCACAAACACTTTAATCATTGCAAAAGCCAGTCTCCCACCTGTGCGATGGGACGAGGGAGAATCAGAGCGAGGGTAGCCCAGACTGAGAACTCTGACATGTTGTTGCTGGGCTGATTTTCTTCCTCCTATCATGAGCTCTGATACACAGATACTTCTTTCTGCCATGACAATCTCTCCTGTCCATCACCAGCCCCTAAAGCTGGCCCCAAGAATACTGTGGGCAAATGTGTTTATCAAGTCACATGGCTATGCATTTAGGAATTCAGGTAGTAAAAGAGCAGCATTTCAGAGGACAGAAAAGTAAGGAATGGAGGCCATCATACATGAGATAGAAATTCTGACTGTACCCAACCACAAAACTATTAATATATAAAAATGTTCATAATCTTCCCTCTTTGCCTCCTACTAAAGAGAACCCTACTTTCGCCTCTTCAGTTCTCCCCCGTCGTCCACTCTCTGGATATTTCTGTCTTTGCCAGGCAATTCTTGGCTTTTGAGATATAGAGCAAGGGTCATCGCAGAGAGAGAAAAACCTTCTAGTTTGTGTAGAGTGAAGGGCTTTCCATGGGAAGGGCCTAAACCAGATGTAAGATGCCAAAGGAAAGCAAGAGAGAAAGGAAGGATAGTCCAGAAGACTAGTTTTAAGGAAGTGTGTGGACAGGAATTGAGAATAAGGTTCCGAGAGAGACTTGTGAAAACCATGGGATCTGAGAAATACTGAGAGACGGGAGAGGAGATAGGGAATATTATACAATATCGCTGGGTATTATGATTTTTAATTTCATTTGGTTGAAATAATATTATTTGAAGAGAGCATTAAGGACTAAAGTTGCTCAACATTTTATCTAATTTTGCTGGGCCACGTGGGATCTGACCTACGCTTGAGCTACGCTGGTATTCTATGAGATATTAGTAGGTATTATGTATACACACAGAGCCACACATATATGTACACCAAATGGTTCCATGGACAAATCTGTGAAATGCTGTCCCCTAAATCCTCAATTCAGAGAATCACATTAGCATATTAAAGGCTCTGAGAAGTCCTGCCGTACAGAAATCTATTCAAAGCTGATTAATCCAATGTTTGCAAAATTTATTTTGCCACATGTCACAGAATATATTTTATTATTTTGAAAAAAATTAATTAATACAATTTTAATAAGGCCATCTTTAAGCTCTCTTGTCTCAAGGGTTTAGGGAAGGCTTAACAAACAAAGCATGATATTTAAACTGGTATTTGGAGAATGGAGAAGGTAGGAAGTAGCCAGGTCAATATATAAAACAGGGGTGAGGAGTAAAAAAATTAAGAAAAAAGAAAGTTCGAAATTGGTAAAGAGTTTCCTGGAGTTTAGAAATAGAAAGAAAGGAAAGGAGCAGTTACACTTCAATTTATTTTCACCAGGAAGAAACTGTTCCCACCTTATCTCTCTACCAGTGTCCTTAAAGTGACTGCTGGGGTCTCACGGCTGTTAGGAAGGAGATGACAGCTTACCTGTTCTGAACCATACTCATGGCCATCCAGTCTACAGGATACACGTTTTTTCCAATGAGGTCCTTGAACATGATGAATGTTTCCATCAAGAAGTCCTGAAAGAGTAAAAACAAAACAAAACAAAACAAATCAAACCACACCTGTCATCTTGTTTTATAGAGACAGACTGCAAATGCCCAGATCTCGGTGGCTGTTTATATTTTTTCTTTATTATTTTTTGGAGGAGCAGAAAGAGAAAGGGCACAGCCTTTCATTAAGTAAATCCAATAAAACCAATAGCAGTGGATTTTTAAATGGAAGCTTAAGTTGGTTACCAGGAGACTGTTTCACAAATATAAGGGAAACGTGAATATGAAATGCAATAACTCTCAAAATAAAGCACTATTAATTCTGTCTTTGGGAGCAAATAAGTGAATATATTCGTTGATGTGGCAATTTTATAATCATCTTCCTAAATATGTGTTTGAGAAGGAAATAATAAATACTATATAAAAGCATCTCAGGTCATTGAACAAATTCTTATTAAAATGAACGTCTAATTAGCAGTACTATAAACACAGCTCATCCATGTGTCACAGACACACGCCTGGGCTGATTAGAAGAAACACGATGGCTTCTCTTCCTCTCCTTTGAAGAGGTTCAGAGTGGACCCCGACACAGCCCATCGGATTTTGCAGTGGACTAAACTTGTTCTCTCTTCATCTTTGGAAGACACAAATTCGAGACAAGTCTAAGTAGCAGAAACCAGAACCACTGCCACTGGGGTCCTCCTGAGCTGGAGGAGACGAAGCCACACGGCCTGTACCTGTGCGCTTTAGGGAACATTTAAAATCCAGAGGAAACCCGTTCAGTGCTTTCTGTAAGCCAGTGGTTTTCAAATTATTTCGATAGCAGAGTTCTTTGTTCAAAGAAAATCTTTCCTAGAGCCTAATATATAAAATAGATAAGAGTAGAAGAGCTATAGTTTGTATGTGTGTGTGTATGTGTGTGTGTGTGTGTATGTGTGTGTGTGTGTGTGTGTGTGTGTGTGTGTTGGGGGCAGGGGGTTAGAGGTTAGTAAGACTGGGAGAAATATAATTTGAAAATCACTGCTTCGTGCTAAATTTCAAAATTCTGGAAATAAGAATGGTTCCTTTCCAGCAATCTTTGCTTCTACGGAAAATTATCTCAATGACTTAAATCCCAGTTTCTGTACCAGCAGAATGAAGACAGCTTCTACCCCAAAGGGTAACTGGGGATCAAGTGCATACTTTCTAGAAGATGATTTGCACAGAGCCTGGCCCGTTACAAGTGCTCATGAAGTGCTCCATGCTGATGATGACAAGTATTATTATTCATCCATGATGTCATCTGGGGGTGTGTGGATATCATCGCAAGCACGTTCCCTCCCTATGGGAATGGAGAAGGCCTCTGGCTCATAGATGGAAAAACCTGGCTTCTGAATGAGAAGATGCAGCGTGGGGTTAGGGTTACAGCAGAGATTCAGATCTTGCCTCCGCGTGTACTAGCTGTGTGGCCTTGAGCAAGAAGATTATGGACTTATGAAAGAGAGTGATCACACCTACGTTATGTTCAGTAAATAAAAACTCCCTTTTCCACCTTCCTTCCCATCTTTCTCTCTGTCGAGGATCAAAAATGATGAATTCTGCCTATTTATATCCATGTCCCAAGACATAAGGAACTTGGGGGAAGGCGGAAATCCAGGGTTATTTAGCTTTCTTTTTAATCTTTGTATGTCCAGAAAGAGGTTCTTATCCATCCTACTCCAATGAAGAGACAGTGTCTCCACTGAATGAATGAAAGGGTAACGCATTGGATTCCTAATGGTCCTTTTTCATGGGTCACTCTCTGAAGTGAGTCCAGTTCTGGTGCCGTTGGTCCCTCCAAGGAGAGTCAAAAGTGAGCCACAGCGGCAGAACCCTGAATATGGTAGTTGTAAAGAGACGAGGACAAAAGTGACCGTACTGAGGGCAAAGGGACTACGCTACCCCTGGGACAGCCCAGGCCAGGCTCTTTGCTGATGAAATCTTCTGCTGCAGAAGTACAGGCCCACGGGCCACGAGCCGCAGGCGGACAGTCCTGCGGCAAATGAGTCCTGAGAGGCTGGAAGAAAGGGACTCAGAGGCCAACTTCCTTCCTGCGTCTGTTATCGTAATATGATATTAGCTCTCTTTCACTGGGAACTTAATGCGTGAGAGCCACTGTGCTCTCATTCAACCTCTTTACATCCCTGTGACGAAAAAATATCATCCCCACTTTACATATGGGGAAACTGAGGCTTAAGGGAAGTTAACCTGCCCATGGTGACATAGCTAGCTGGTGATAAATCCCCGATTCAAACCCAAGACTGTGTGACTTCTGCAGCCACGCCTTTAAGCCCCCAAATGTCCATGATTCATCAACAAATATTTGTCAAACCATATTTAGAGTAGACATTTGGTCTCATCTCTGACATGGACTGAAGACATGTTCCAGAAGACATATACAGCCTAAATGGGAAGCAGAAGTAGGGAATCACGCAGTCGTGTTTATAAACGTAGACGCACAGGTTTTCAAGGCCCATGGCGGAGACTTTCTTGCCCTAAACTCTTGAGAACCGAGAATGTGATCTGTCTCCTCCATGCTGTCCCCTGGCATCTTATAGACTCACCACAAGTTCAGAGCTGGTCTGAAAGGTTTCGATATAGAAGGAATAGTGCTGGTCACCCATCTGGTTTAAAATAGCCGTCATACATGCCACAAAGTGACTCTGCAAGAAATAAAGAAAAGTGCCATGAAATAGTGGAGAGAAGACCATAACATTCATCTTCTCCATTTCCTTGACTTTAGAATGGAAAATACCCCAACCCAAGTAAGTATAAGAACGCCCCTCCTCCAGGTATGGAGACTTACACTCTCCACCAGATTAGCATATGAAACTTCCCTATGAAGAGATCTCTCCTTACGGCTCAGCCATCATCAGCACATTCACCCAAAAAGCATTTATCGAACATCTATTATGTGCCTGGGACTCTCATAGGAGCTCCAGATATAGACTACAAGACCCAATTCATTACCTCTCCAGAGAGAAAAGTACCACATTCATGTCAGGAGACCCAGCCTATCACAACATCTTGGAGACAGTCTGATTTTCTTGTAAATAATTTTATACGTTTCATCTATAAAGTGGGACAATAATCCACCTATATCTACCCCAGAGGTGTATCAGAAGAATCAAATGTCCCCTACAGTGTCTTGAATGCATTAAAGTTCTTTACAGGGGGATCAGTGGTTGGACCACCATGAATCGACCAGTGAGAAACCAGTAGCTACCAGAAACCGGCACTTGTTAAGAGCCACGGAGGACAAAAGAGACAAGGAGAGGTCGTCCTCGCTCGTTCTTCAAATGCTCAAGATCTAGTTGGAAAAATAAGATTAACATCCATGAGGGAAAATGTATAAGACCTTTGATCTGCGAAGCAGACTAAGTGCCAGAGGGATTCAGACAAGAGGGAAATCAGTGTAAGGACTCGGTGAGCAGGTGGGTCTGGAAGGATCTGTGGGATCAGAAGAGGAAGGACCACATCTCTTCATGCACCGGAATCCATCGCCACACCCTTTTCTGCTTTTTCTCTTCCATATTTTATGAATCTGTGTCAGGGTACATATTCTGTTTGGGCTTGTGTCTGCTAGCAGCATTTAGGGAGATCTGCTCTGGAAATCTGGTAAAGGAAGTACCGACCACAAATCTACCAGTGGGGAGAAGCCACTCAAGACTGTCCCCTGCAGGATTCCACTGGGGCTGCCGTCTTAGCCAAAGGAAGTCCCACGAGGCCCGGTCAAGAAGAGGCTTGCGGAAGATGGTCTGCTTGGTGTGATTAGGGGTGTCTCCAGGGAACCCCATTACTAAAGGGTGTCGGACATAATGCACACCGGAAACATGGGCCTGGAGACGTTATATTAGAACCAAAAAAGTGGGTTGGGTATCACAAACTATATTAAACAACAACGATAGCAATAAACCACATACACACATATACGCCCCCCCCAAAACCCCACCAACTTCTTTCTCTGTTAAAAAATATATGACAAATATGAAATAAAAAAATATTCTCCCGGATCACAGGTTTACAGTGGTGGGGGACAGCCTTGATGTCGCCAGGAAGCCCCTCCCACATTCCTCCCCAGGAAGTCTTTTAGGAATTGCACGTTCCTTAAGTTCACATTCCCAAAAGTGGCTCCCAAAGATGGAGTCTCATTTGCTTCTAGGTTCTTTCCGACTGGGATGCTGGGGATAGTGGGCTTTCCCAGGCAGCAGGGCCAGCTATATAATTAGGGCTCAGGACGAAATGAAAATGCAGAGTCCCTGTTAAAATTTATTCAGAATTTCAAGACAGCCACCGGGCCATCTGAGCACCAGGCCAGGTCACACATCTAGGAAGCCAGCCCTGCCTGCTAGTGACTACCACACACACCACAAATGTGCAGAACATGTGTAAACCGGCAGAGAGCGCTAAGCTGGGGCTCTCGGGAGCAGCAGCAGCGTTGACACTGTGCTGATTGGGACTCGGAGCCTCTGCACTGGGGCAAACTGCCTTGGCCATCCCGGCGGTCAGATCCTCTCTGCTGCTCGGGCCCCCGAGGGTGGCGGTGAGTTTGTGAAATTACTAGTCCCTTTCACACCAGACAGAGTGCCACCATAGCTAACGTAACCAGGTCCCACTTAAACCAAGAAACAGGCTTTATTCTTGTTTATCCTTCTGGCCGGGTTGGATGCAAGAAAGGAGAAATCCTATAGT